CATTCTCCCCGTTCTGTCATCCATAGCGGCCCTTCACTCTCTCCTGCTCACTTCCCTCTTTCCTCCCTCCCTTCTACCCTGACTGCCAGGCCCTCTGCTTCAAGCCTGTTCAAGGTGCAACAGCAAGGTGAAGAAGCAAGGCACAGCATCAAGGGGCAGCAACACACCTTCAACGCTCCGCACAAAGATAAGCCCACTCTCCTTGGTTTCATACCCGTTCCTTTTCTCTTTCAGCTCAAGCTCATGTTCCCTGCACTGTCATCCCCCCATCCGCCCTCCCCCTTGCTGTCATGCCAACTACCCCTCCACAGAGCCTTCCCTCTTGGTGAAGGTTCAGGTTTCTTTTCACGTTAAGGTTCAGGTCTTGGTTCAGGTAAAAGGTGAAGGTTTGGTACTTGGCTCCTGTGGAGGGAGCATTGGCTGTTGCACCATCACCCACTGCACATGCACTCATTTCACCCCTTGTGTCCTCCATACCTTCCCTTCACTCATTCCCGCTCCCTTCCCTCTTCCTTCCCTCCGTCCTCACCCTATCCCTCCCTGACTGTCAGGCTCGCTGCTCCAAGCCTCTACTGGAGTGCAAGGCGCAGCAGGAAGGCCCACGAGCATGGCACAGGAGGAAGGCGCAGGACCAAGGCCCATCAAAGCACCATCAACGCTTTACACAAAAGATAAGCCCTCACCTGTGGTTTCTTTCTTACCCACTCCGTTCCTGTTGCACACGAAAAGCTCTCCAGCCCACATCCCGACATGCTCTGCAATGGCATGCATACCCCCCATCCGCCTTCCTGCTTGCTGTCATGCCAACCACCCCTCCATAGAGCCTCTCCTGGTGAAGGTCCAGGTTTTTCTTTTCAGGTAAAAGGTAACGGTTTGGTACTTGGCTCCTGTGGAGGGCGTGGAGGGTGACCGTGTCATGACTCACTGCACATTCACGCTTCCCCCTTTCAAGTATCACCCTATACTCACTCCCGTTCCCTCCCCTCTTCCCTCCCCTCTTCCCTCCCCTCTTCCCTCCCCTCTTCCCTCCCCCCGCCCTCACCTCACCCCCGACTGTCAGGCTCACTGCTCCAAGCCTCTACAGGAGTCCAACGCGCAAGCACAGCAAGGCTCGGCAAAGCACCCTCAACGCCCACACAAAGATAAGCCCACAACCCTTGTTTCATACGCGCTCCATTTCTGTTTCAGCTCAATCTCTTCTTTGGGCCCAAATCCCAACACTCGCTGCACTGCCATACCCCGCCATGCGCATTCCTCCTTGCTGTCATGCCAACCACCCCTCCACAGAGCCTCCCTTCTTGGTGAATGTACAGGTTTCTTTTCAATTAGAGGTTCAGGTTATGGTTCAGGTGCAAGGTAAGTTTGGTTTGGTACTTGGCTCCTGTGGAGGGCGTTTTGGCACTGCAGCATGCCCCGTCTCATCTCATCCCATGCCATGCTCTCACCGCGCTCATACCGCCACCCTCCCTGCACATGAATCCTGGCCGTGCGCTCACTCTCTTCTCCTCCCGCCCTTGCCTGCTCGCATGGCAGATGCACCTTCCCAGCGCCCCTACTCGCCCAGGGGTCAGCAACAGGGGCAGCTCGCAGGTCAACTCGACGGCCCACAGCGCTGCCAGGGGGCGTCTCTCCCTGCTCCTCGTGTCTGTGTGAGTGCCATCCTCCACCTCGCTTCACTTGCTCTGCTCCTCACTTGTGCTTGCTTCATGCTGCTGCTGCTGCATGCACTCGCTCATATTACTCAATTAGGGTCAACACTAATGCTCCACCATGCCCCTCCCCTGTGGCCGTGCAGGTATGCACGGGGATGGGAGGGAGGCAGCACTGCCTGCAGCAGACTTGAATCGCTGCCACGAGGGAGAGTATGGGGATGGGCTTGGCCTCTCAAGGTGCGTCAGCTCCCCTCCTTGGCCTCATCCCTCCACCCCTTGAGTTTTCTAATTGCTGCAGCTGTCTCTTTGTTTTTTCCATTTTCGTTTCTGTCAGCTTGAGTCTGCTCCTTGTTTCTGCCAACTCACCTGTTCCTCCTCCCGCCCTTCCTCTCCTGTCCCTCCTCTCCATTGTCTATGCCCGCTACCAGGTCACTTGGCATCGAGCGAAGACTGTAGCAGAGCAAGCTGTGTAGCTGTAGCAGACCAGCAGCAGCAGTTGCAGCAGCTGAAGCAGCAGCAGCAGCAGTGGGGGTTGGGGGGCTAGGCTAGGCTAGGTCAAGGTGTGGGAAGGTTTGGTAAAAGGTGTGGTAAGGTTCCAGGTGGGTATGGTGATCTGATTCCCTCCTCTCTCTTTCTCCCCCATTTCTTCCCCGCAGCTTGAGAGCGGGAGCACAGGAGCAAGGGCGGAGTGGGGAGTCGACCCATTCACCCACCTCCTCCTCTCTCCCTTTTCCCTTCCCTCCCAGCAGCACCCTGCCTAGACCACAGTGGAGTCTCGCCCTTTGTTAATCCCTCCCCCTCCCTTCCCACTTCCCAGCAGCCTCAGGCATCATGGCGCTCTGCATGGCTGCATGGTAGGTAGAGGTAAAGAGGCATGGGGTGAAGGGAGGTGGGCGGGTGGGTGGAGGCATGGGAGCAAACGGGCAGTTCACTTCCTTAGGGGCAGCATCCTTTGGGGTTGTGGCTTGTGGTTCGGCGTGTGGTGGGTGGAATCTGAGCGGCACGGGACTCGGTGCTCAAGTAACCGATCTGGCGTTCAAAGCTTAATGGACACCGTCAGAGTCGACCGGCCGGCGGCTCTGGTTCGCGTCAGCTCTAGCTACGTCAGGGGTGGGATTTGAGTCTTGGGCTGGAAGCGATTTCCCACTGGCACACCTCGCCCCACAAGTCACAGCCCTTCAGGGTGCTGTTTTTGAAAGGGAGTGGGCTGTCAGCTGCTCTTACTGCTGGCAGGTGAGGGTCGGAAGCAAGGGGTGGTAGTAGGGAGTTGGTATGGTGCTGTGGTATGATAAAGTGTGGTATGATTTAGTATGGAATAACACATTCTGGTATTCCACTGTGTAGTATGATATTGTGTGGTCTGTATGATCTAGTATGGTATTGTACTGTACGCCCATCAATTTCCATCCCATCAGTTTCCACCCCATCACTTTCCACCCCATCAGCTTCCACCCCATCAGTTTCCACCCCATCAGTTTCCGCCCCATCAGTTTCCACCCCATCAGTTTCCACCCCATCAGTATCCACCCCATCAGTTTCCACCCCATCATTTTCCACCCCATCAGTTTCCACCCCATCAGTTTCCACCCCATCAGTTTCCGCCCCATCAGTTTCCACCCCATTAGTTTCCACCCCATCAGTTTCCTCCCCATCAGTTTCCACCCCATCAGTTTCCGCCCATCAGTTTCCGCCCCATCAGTTTCCGCCCCATCAGTTTCCGCCCCATCAGTTTCCGCCCCATCAGTTTCCACCCCATCAGTTTCCACCCCATCAATTTCAGTGTGGTGTGATTCGGTGTGGTATGGTACAGTGTGGTATGGTACAGTGTGGTATGGTACAGAGTGATATCGATACAATGCAGTGTGTGTGTTATCTAATGTGGTGTGAGTGTGTGATGATATATGCAGAGTAATGATGATACAGTGTGGTGTGGTTCCAATGATGGTGGCATGGTATGGTATGACATAGTGTGGTGTGATAGAGTGTGGTATGATGCCACGTGGTGTGTTGCAGTGTGATACGATACCATGTGGTACAATAGTAGTGTGATACGATACTATTTGGTACAATAGCAGTGTGATTCGCTTTGTGGTACAGTAGCAGTGTGGTATGATTCTGTGTGGACTAATCATGTGGGATGATGTAGTGTGGTATGATACAGTGTGCTATGATGTGACATAGTGTGGTGTGTTATTGTGTGATTCAGTATGGTCTGTCAAATGTTGTTGTGTGTGGCATGGTATGGTATGGGGTGGGATGTCATGTTGTGGCATATCATAGCGTGACATGTCATGGCATGGTGTTGTGTGGAGTGGGCATGTCATTCGGTGGCATGTAATCATGTTCGATTACATGTCATGGCGTGGCATGTCGTGTTGTAACATATCATGGTGTGGCATCGCATGTTATCATGTGGCATGCCATCATGCCATCTACAGACTGGCAGCAGCTTGAGGAGCATGTGGAGGACCGGGGAAGGCAAGAAGGACAGTCCAGGAGGGAAGTGGGGGAAAGTGGGATGCAGGAGTGGGGGTTTGCAGATTATGGCTGCCTCAGATGCTATGCCATACAATCACATACATTCACTATAGTATGTTAACAACTTGCTACATGTATCTGATTCTGCTTAGAGTTCAGGGCGTTGTCTTGTCTGGTTTGTTCAACGGTAGATATTTGTTATTTAGTCTGGTACAGTGTGTTGCTGCACCTTTAGGCTAAGCGATGGGGGATGTACATATATTCGGATAAACTGATTCTCTGAATGGTGTAACTGAAATCCCTATATTCTCACAACCTTATCACTACCGTAGGTAAGATGTTGAACTGCAGCCCCCCTGTGAATCACGCTGTACAGCTGCTATGTAATTGCCAATGTATAACCACCACACCTGACAGATCCAAACATACAGCCTGCCCCAAATATAATATTCATGTTATCTACCGGTAACACTCCTTGCAGAACAGGGAATCATTTGTACTACCGTAACTGCTGTTGTTATCTAGTATTTTTCTCCGTGGCTGTCGGGGTGATGGCTCGATATACGCACTCTCTCTGCGCTCGTCAAAATGCCACCCTTGCTCGACCCCGCATCTCGGCGCCTCCCACAATTCAAACTTCCAAACCCACGCCTCGATTTCGCCATTTCTGTTTCGTAACCCTAGCTCCCCTTGTCGTTCCTCTCCTCACCTCTCGTCGTCTCCCCGTTTTCCCGTTTCCCCGTCTCGCTCTGTCAAAATTATCTTCTCTCTAGTTTTGGTGAAAGAACTTAGGTGAAACTGCTTGAGCGTAGGCGTTTCACCTAAGAAGTTTTGTCGCGTAGGCGTTTTAGCTGAAGCATTTAAAGCGAAATGGAAGAGTCTGATTTATTGGAGAAAGATCTGATCGACCGCGATAAATTTCGGGGCGGCGATCGACCTCCAGAGGCTGTTGATTCTGGAAAAGATGCCGCGAACGGAATAGCAACGAATAACGAAGACATTGCTATGGCGGACGCTGACGGCGAAGGCCTTCTCGAGAACGGTGTTGCGGACGCGACCGACGCGGAGCCGGTCGCTGGACCGACGACTGCGGAGGGAGGAAAAGACGAGGAAATGCGAGACGCGGAAGCGGTGACAGGCGACGGCGACGCGAGCGACGGTCGCGCGAATGACGTCGAGCGCGTCGACGCGGCCGCTGCGCCTGACGCAGCTGCTGCGACGCCCGCAGGTGCGGACGAAAATGCGGGTGTCGACGCGGCGGGTGTTGAGGCTGGTGGAAATAAGCAAGCTGATGGCGTGGCTAACGGAGTTGACGGCGAGGGGGGAACGGAGGGCGCGGAGGAGCAAGAAGGGAAGAGTGGCGAGGCGAAGGAGCAGCGGGCTGATGAGACGCGCGACGACGGTGGGTTGGAGGAAAAAGCGGTGAAGGCGGAAGAGAAAGCGGAAGCGAAACCGGAGGACCAAGCGGAAGAGAAAGCGGGAGAAAAAATGGAGGAGGAATCGGGGGAGGGGGCGGAAGGGAAAGCGGAGGGGAAAGCGGAGGAGGAAGCGGAGGAGGAAGCGGGGGAGAAAGCGGGGGAAAAAGCGGAGGCGGAAGAGAAAGAGGAGGGGAAAGCGGACGAGAGAACGGAAGAGAAGATAGAAGAGAAAGCAGAAGAGGAAGCGAAAGCGGGAGGAGAGGCGGAAGGGGGTGCGGCGGAAGGAGTGGAGGCGGAAGGGATGGAAGCGGCAGGCGGAGAAGTGGCAGCAGAAGGGGGAACGGCGTCCGCGACTGATGCGGGTGAGAAGGCCCGCGACGAGGCGGAGAAGGGGAGCGCGGAGGAGGAGGAAGAGGGGAAGGACGACGAGGAGGGGACTGAGGGGACCGAAGCGAAGGAGGGGGAGGCGGAGAAGGAAGAGGAGGAAGTGGAGGGGGAGGGGGAAAAGGAAGAGGAGGGGGAGGCGGAGAAGGAAGAGAAGGGAAAAGAGGGGAAAGCGGGGAAGGACGCGAAGGAGGGGAAGGGCGAAAAGGAAGAGGACGAGGAAAAGGGGCCGAAAGAGGGGAAGAAGAGCAAGGGGGGAAAGGAGGAGGTGCGGCGGAAGCAGCGGGAGGACAGGCCCGGGCAGGGCGCGGACGGCAGCGACCAGCGCAAGGCAGCAAAGAGCGCGTCCCCCCATCTCCGCCCCCACGGCACGCCCGCCAAGGCCTCCGCCAAAGCCCCCCCTTCTCCCGCCACCCCCGCGGCTGGCAGGGCGCGCGCGGGGGAGGAGGAGAGCGGGGGGAGCGAGGACGAGGGGGAGTGGGCGCCAGTGGTGCACGAGCTGGTGTGGGCCAAGGTGCGCTCGCACCCCTGGTGGCCTGCGCGCGTTCTCTCCCCCTCCGAGGCCACCCCGCGCGCGCGCGCGCAGCACCGCTCGGGGCACCTGCTCATCGGCTTCTACGGCGACCAGACCTTGTGAGTGCCCTCGCCCTGCTCGCCCGCGCGCCTTCTGAGCCCCCTGCCGCCCGCCTTGTGAGTGCCCTGCCGCTTTGTGAGTGCCCTGCTGCCCGCCCGCCTTGTGGGTCCCTGGGTGCTGTCGCAATCACCAATCATTCTTGCAATCACCACTGCTGCATGCGTGTGTGCTGCTGGCTGTGCTCTTGGGGCGTCTGGTTGACGCAGAGGGCGAGCGGACAGAGCAGCCTGAGGGAACCACACGGCAGGCAGCACTATTGCTATTCCCCCCTCGCCTTATATCCGCCCCTCCTCCCAACCCTCTTCCTTCCCAACCTCCCCGTTTCCACCCCCCTTCCCCGCACAACAGCAACTGGTTGCGCCCCATGGATCTGCTGCCATTCGCGGAGCACTACTGGGACAAGTCGCAGCAGACGCCCATGAAGCTCTTCTGCCAGGCCGTGGCGGAGGCCCTCGTGGAGCTGGACGACCAGGTCGCCAAGGGGCTGCTGCACGGCGCCCCGCCCTCCACCCTTGCTGCACAGCACCGCCGCGTCAACCCCAGTACGTGCTAGTCTGCCGTTACTAACAGTAGCTCTTACTTAGGCCGTGGCAGAGGCGCTGGTGGAGCTGGACGAGCAGGTGGCCAGGGGCTGCTGCACGGCGCCAGGCCCGCCACGCTCGCCGCACAGCACCGCCGCGTCAACCCCAGTACGCCCTACCCTGTATCCCTTAGTTAGTAGGTGTTACTTTTGCTGCCAATCCTGTTATGCGCCAGTCTGCTCTCTGCTTTGGGGCCTTGCCCTGCCGTGACTATGGACTTATTGCAAACTGCGTGTTGTTTCTCCTCTCTTCTTGCCCTGCCTGCTCTCCGTTTTCCACCTCTCTCTCTCCGTTCGCCTCCTCACTCCTCTCCTCGCCTCCTCACCTCTCCTCTCTTTCCTCTCCACCCCTCGCGTTCTCTCCTCCCTCCTGCCCCCCACCAGCCGTCATGCTATCCTACCTGCGAGCCACGGCCCGCAATCCCATCGGCGGGTGAGTTGCACTCGTCTCCACATCGCCACATGCACCCGCCTCGCCACATGCACCCGCCTCGCCACATGCACCCGCCTCGCCACATGCACCCTCCTCGCCACATGCACCCTCCTCGCCACATGCACCCGCCTCGCCACATGCACCCGCCTCGCCACATGCACCCTCCTCCTCGCCACATGCACCCGCCTCGCCACATGCACCCGCCTCGCCACATGCACCCGCCTCGCCACATGCACCCTCCTCGCCACATGCACCCGCCTCGCCACATGCACCCGCCTCGCCACATGCACCCGCCTCGCCACATGCACCCGCCTCGCCACATGCACCCGCCTCGCCACATGCACCCGCCTCGCCACATGCACCCTCCTCGCCACATGCACCCTCCTCGCCACATGCACCCACATCGCCACACACACCTTGCACCCGCCCACCTAGTCTGCAACCCTCTGTGCCTTTCTCAGTCCCTCCTCTCTGCACTGCACTTCGCCCCTCTTCTCCCTTTCCCCCAACCAGTGGCTCGAGACTCCCCCACCCCCCAACTTCTCTCTCCACACCTTCCCCTCCCACTGCTTGCTCCTGTTTCTCCCCCTCCCCCCTCCCTACCCCCCTTCCCTTTCCCCTTTTTCCTCCACTCCCTCAATCCCCCCCACAGGCACCGCGACGCACTGCTGGCGGCAGTGCTGCGGCAGCGGTTCATGGAAGGGGGCGGGGAGAAGGCGCAGGTGGGGCGCGGGGAGCAGGGCGCGCGCAGGCCCGACCTGGGGGAGCTGTTTCTGGTGGAGGGGCGGCTGGTGGTGCCCGATGGGGAGGGGGGCGCGGGCGCTGGGGCGAAGGGGAAGAAGAAGGGCGGAGAGAAAGGGGGGAAGCGGAGGGCTCATGTGGAGGAGGAAGAGGAGGAGGAGAAAGAGGAGGAGCACGAGGAGGAGAAGGTAGAGGAAGAGGAGGAGGAAGAGGAGGTGGTGGTGGTGAAAGAGAAGAAGAAGCGAGGGCGGAAGTGGGAGGAGGATGATGAGGAAGTTGAAATGGGTGAGGAGGAAGAGGAGGAGGACGAGGAAGAGGGGAGGAGGAAGAAGGGGCGAAAGGGCAAGCAGAGGGAGGAGGGCGGAAAGAGGCGTGGGAGGAAGAGAAAGCACGAGGAGGACGAGGAGGAAGAGGAGCAAGAGGAGGAGGAGAAGGAGGAGGAGCAAGAGGAGGAGGCGGGGGAGGAAGAGGGTCTGAAGCGGAGGAAGAAGAAGATGAGAAGGCGCAAGTCGGAGGGGGGAGCTGGCGAGGAGAGGGAGGGGGAGGAGGGGAAGCGGCGGAGGAGGAAGAAGCGCGTGGTGGACGAGGAGGGCGCGGAGGGGGCTGCAGGGGAGGAGGGAGCCGCGGACGAGGGAGCAGGGGGGGAGGAGGAGAGGGTGGGGGCAGGAGTGGCGGCAGGGAAGAAAGAGGGGGAGGGAGAGGCGAAGGAGGGGGCGGAAGGGGCGGAGGAGCAGGGGAATGAGGGCAAGTCCCCGGTGCACTCGCCGCTGCGCTCACCCGTGCAGTCGCCTGGGGGGGCGGGGGCGGGTGGTGGGGCAGGGGGGCGTGGCAAGGGGCGGCCGAGCAATGCGCACAAGTGGGCGGTGGAGATGCAGCGGCTGGGCATCAAGGCCGCCGCTGAAACCGCACGTGACGACCTGCTGCGCCTTGCTAGGAGCCCCCTGGACCTGTGCGTGGGGAGGGGATAGAGGGGGTTGTGAGTGGGAAGGGGCATGTGAGTGGGGGAGGGGGGATGGAAGTGGGGGCAATGCAGCATGTGCACGTCAGCAATACATGCATGGAGGGACGTCAACACTCACATGTCTCTCCTTCCATGTCCTGCCTGTGCCTCCACCCACCACCCGTGTGCCACAGGGCGGATCTGAGCGAGACACTGAAGCCCGTGGCAGCATGGCGCCAGCACACCTTCTGGTTCGCCCGCTCGCACAAACCAGCACCGGCTGCAGCTGCTGCTGCTGCCAGCAAGGGTCCGTGTTTCCTTTCTCCTCTACCCCCTTCCTCTTTCGTTGGTCGCTCGCTCCCTCCACCCACCACCCCGTTGCTCATGACTGTGCGCTCCTCTCCTTACCTTGCGGTCAATGCTGTGCTTCTGTTCTGCGCGCCCTCTGTCCGCCCGGCAGGCGAGGCAAAGAAGGCCCCGGCAGGCAAGGCAGGCCCGGAGGCGGCGGGTGAAAAGAGTGCAGCGGTGGAAGAGGCGCAGAGAGAGGTGGGCGCGGAGGGAGGCGCGAGGGTGGAGGCAGAAGGGAAGGCTGCGGAGGAGAAGACGCCTGGCGAGGGTGCTGTGGGTGGCGCTGGGGGCGAGGAGGAGGAGAAGGGGAAGGAGGAGGAGAAGGGGAAGGAGGAGGAAAAGGCGAAGGAAGAGGTGGCTGGTGGTGAAGGTGCTGCTCCGATGGTGGAGGGAGGGCAGGCGGAGGCAGGCAAAGAGAAGCAGAAGGATGCGGGTGAGGAGGAGGAGAAGGTTGGAAAGGAAGGGGTAAGTGGGGAGAAGGAGCGTGAGGGTGAAGGGGCGAAGGAGGAGGAGATGAGTGAGAGGGAGAAGAAGCAAGGCGAGCAGGTGAGGGAGAAGGGGGTGGAGGAGAAGGAAAAGGAGGAGGAGGGAGAGGGAGTGATAACAGGCGAGGTGGAGGAGGAGGACAGGTGGGAGGAGGAGGCGGAGGAGGAAGAGCCGGTGCCGCGCCCACCCCCACCAGCGGCACCACCACGCAAGGCAGCTGCAGCAGCAGGGGCAGCAGGGGAGGAGGGGGCGGGAGGGGCGGTGCGGCCTCGGGGGCGCACCAAGGCGGAGGTGAAGGCGCGGCGGCAGCAGCGGCTGGTGGACGCCCGCCCTGGCAGTGAGAGCGAGGGGGGCGAGGGCGACGAGGACGAGGACGGGCGCAGCGATGAGGAGAGGCCTGTGGCAGCGCGGGGCAGGGGGCGTGGCCGTGGGCGCGGGCGGGGGTCGAGAGGAGGGAGGGGCGGGCGGGGCAGAGGAGAGGCAGGAGGGGAGGCAGGGGGGAGAGAGGGGTTGAGTTCAACTGGGAGGGGGAGGGGGAGGGGAAGGGGGAGAGGCAGGGGCAGGGGCAGGGGGCGAGGAGGCGAGGGAGGAGGGGCGGAGGGCGGAGTGGCGGAGGGGGGTGAGTGGGAGGAGGGAAGGCAGCGTGATGTGGGGGAGGCGGGGCAGGAGAGGGCGTTGCGGCAGCGCAAGGTGGGGGTGCCGGCGCGTGTGGAGGGGGACGCTCTGAGCCCAGAGGGCCGGCGGCGGTCGCTGCAGCAGCTGGCCGCTGCTAAGAGGGAGGCACGCGGCGGGGCAGGCGCTGATGGTGAGTGCAAATAAGGAAAGGGGATGGTGGAGGGGGTGCCGGGTGGGCGTCCGTGTGTGTGTGTGTGTGTGTGTGTGTGTGTGTGTGTGTGTGTGTGTGTGTTGATGAGGCGCACAGCTCTTAGTGTGTGTGTTGAGCTGACTGCACACACGCCTGTGTGCTCTCTGCCCTGGCCTGCCTTGCATTGCCTCTCTCTTCCGCCTTGCCCCCGCGTGAGCTTGTCCCGCCTGGTAGCTCGCCACACGCCACACGCCACGCGCCACACGGCACACGGCACATGGCACCTCTACCCCCGCTCCCTCCCTGTTCCCCCCCTTCCTCTGCCCCTGCCCTTCTCTCCAGAATCGCCCCCCCATGCGCTTGCGCTGACAACACAAGATGCCACGTCAGTCCCACCAGGATGGCAGCAGGTGCGTGTTGTGCTCTGTCTGTGGCGCGCTGAATTGGTGTTGCATGATGTGGCGTGTGGCATGGCATGGTGTGGCATGCTGTTGCGTGGTGTAACAGCGTGGCATAGTGCGGTGTGGTTCAGGATGGTGTGGTGTGGGATGGTGTGGTGTGGGATGGTGTGGTGTGGGATGGTGTGGTGCAGGATGGTGTGGTGGTGTAGTGTGGCGTGGATGGAGATGAAGCAGCAGAGTCGGTTCAATACAGCATCGTGGTGTTTCTCATCCTCGAATCATGCATTCCCTTACATCCCTCTCTCACCCCCCTCCTCTCTCTCTCCCGTCTCTCACTCCCACTTCTAAAGCCCCACTCCCATGCCCAGCAGCAGCAGGGGCAGGGTCAGCTGGGTTGGCAACAGGGCTGGCAACAGGGCGGGCAGCAGAGCGGGCAGTTGCAGCAGCAGCAGCAGGGGGGCGGGCAACAGGGGCAGGGGCAGGGGGGCGGGGGCCAGCAGGTGCTGTGCATGCGGTTCCCGAAGCTCATGCCGGCGCCCTCAGTGGCGCAGCTGCGCGCCACCTTCGCGCGCTTCGGAGCGCTGCTGGGCGCCAAGCTCATCAAATACCAGGGCGTCGCTGAGGTGTGTTGAGAGGGAGAGGGAGAGGTGAGCCAAGAGAGGGGCGTTGCTGAGGTGAGGAGGAGACTTGTTGGAGTTAGGTTGTTGTCACCAATGTCAATGTCAATGTCACACGCACTCTCTTCATGTCATGCCATGTGCCGCACACCCCCACACCCCTTCGCTCCCACGCAACCATGCCCCTGCCCGTCCCCCACCCCTTTCCTAGTCCCATGCGCACAGGCTGTGTGGAGGACCCATCATGAGCCACAGCATGTATGAGGTGCCTCAAACGTCATCTTCCCAACCCTCCCCCTCCCCTCCACCCGCCATGCGGCAGGTGGTATTCGAGGACCCGTCGTCAGCCACAGCAGCCATGCCCCCCTCCTCTCTCCCCTGCCCGTCCCCCATCCCCTCTCCCCTCTCCCCCAAGGTGGAAAAAAACGATTGTCGAAAAATACAATTGTATTTTTCGATTGTTCTTTACGGTCCCTTTTGGGAAAAAAACATCGTTTTTTTGTTAGACAAAAAAAAGCGCCTCGATAAAAAAAATGCTGTTGTGACCCAAAAAACACTTTTAACCATCTCCTAGTGCATCAGCAATACTTCTAACAGCCCCCTCATTCTACTCACAAAACAATCCCCCTGTTACAGCAGCAGTTTTGTACCCTTTTCTGAAAAAAACGATGGTTTTTTTCCACCCAAATCAATTAATTTCTAAAAATCGAAATTTATTGTATTTTATGATCGTTTCTTACGATACAGTATTTTACGATCAAATTTTGAAAAAAACGTCGTTTTTTTGCACCCTGCTCTCCCCTCCCCCTCCCCTGCGCCCGCCATGCACACAGGTGGTATTCGAGGACCCGTCGTCAGCGACAACAGCGATGCACGAGGCCATGCACGGCTCCTCGCTCTTCGGCTCCTGGGACGTGCAGTTCCGCCTGCGCCCCTACACCGCCTCCGTCGGTGCCCCCCCCCGTTGCTTACTCTCGCTCTTCCTTTCCTCCGCTCCCCTCTCCTCTCCGCTCAACGCTGTGCCATGCTGCTGGCGTGCCATTCCCTCTTCCAATGTTTTTTTCTCAGTGGTCATCCTTGTCGCTGCTCTCTGCATTTCGCCCTCTGCCTCTCCACATGCACCTCCCCTCGCTCTCCCCCTTTCAACCACCTCGTCACCTCTCCTCTTCACCTTCGTCTCCTCTCTCATCTCTCTTCTCGCCCCCTGCTCCCCTCCCCTGCCCCCTCTTCTCCCGCTCCCCTTCTCTCCTGCCACCAGATTGACTCTGCAGTCCCCATCAGGCCCACATATCCCTCCGCCCACACCCCCCCACCCTCCGCCCACGGCCCCCCTCCCTCCGCCCGCACCCCCCCTGCGCGCCTTCCCCCCGCGGCCTCCCCCGCCCCCACTCCCCCGCGCGCCCTCGCCCCTCCCCCGGCCGGTGCTGCCCTCGTGCCCGCCGCCGCTGCTGGCCGCCTCACACCCTCACAGCGCCACAGCCTGGTGCGTGCCAATGCCAATGCCAATGCCAATGCCAATGCCAATGCGTGCTGCCAATGCGTGCTGTCGCTTCCATCACCGTCTAATTGCCGTCACCCGGGCACACCCGTGTCTGTTGCTATCCTTCAGATATATTTCTTTACTCCTTTTCTCTCTCTCCTCGCGCCCCACCCGTTGCCTCTCACCGGACTTTCCCCCTCGTCTCCCTCCTGCCAGCAACTAATTCATTCCACCCTCTGCTTCCCACCTCCACCTCTGCCTCGCCCCTCTCTGCACTTCTCCTCTCCTCCTTATCTTCTCCCCACTCGCATCTTTCCCCCCGCCCTCTCCGTCCCCTCCCCCCAGGCGAATCCAGCGCAGGCGGCGCAGAGGCCGGGCAGTGCGGCCTGGATGGGCACGCCCACCACGCTGGGCCCGTCCACGCGCTCGCTGCTGCCGCGCTCCGCCCTCGCGCTCTCCAAGGACCCCCGCCGACAGTCCCATGCCCCCGCCGCCGCCGCCACTTCTCCTGGCGCTGCTGCTGGCGGGGGGGGTATGGCGGGACAGCAAGGCAGGGAGGGGTTGCCTCCTGGGTTTGCAGCAGGGGCAGGGGGAGGGGGGGATGGAGGAGGAGGGGATGGGGGAGCAGGAGGTGGCGATTGGTGGGACGCACAGGACGCCCTCCCCACACCCCCTGTGGAGCCATCTGCACCCCCTCCCGCTCACACCCCTGCTGCACCACCCTCCCTCCCTTCTACCCCTGCCCCGCTGCCCACCGCCTTCTCTGCCCCTGCTGCTGCCACTGACGGCGCTGCTGCTGCCATGGTTGCTGCTGGAGGAGCCGGGGCTGGGGAAGGGAGTGGTGGGGTGGGAGGGGCGGGGGCGGTGCCGGACATAAAGCAGAGCATGTTCAGCCTGCTGAGCAAGGTGCAGGCCATCGTGTCGCAGCCCGAGGGGGAGGGGCGTGCAGCACAGGGGGCTGACAGCACCGCGTGAGGCATGGGGAAGGGAAGCCATGCGCTGTGTGGCGCCCTCTGCTCTGCTCTGCACACCCCTACCCCCGTTCCTAACCAGTCCTCTGCTCGTGACGACTGTGGGAAGCCCCTGCTGTAACCTGTGTCGGGAACGCTGCTGCTCGCTACCAGCTCTGCTCCCTCCAGCCACACTCCTCTCCTCTGGACTCAGCTCTCTCTTCTTCCGCTGCTTCTGCTCACTGCCTGCTGCCTGCTGCTCGCTGCCTGTTGCCGTGTCGGGGGGCCTGTCATGCTGCCCCTGCCCCTGCGCCGTGTGCACATGGCTGCTTGTCCCAGGTGCACCACCCCCAGCCCACTAACCTCAGCCCCTCCTTGCTCTGCCTCTCAGTGCCATGGTTCACGGCAGCTAGTTTAATTGAATTTTCGGTTATCTAGAGCCTAATCCTGGTACCGTTATTCCAGGAGCATTCATGGTGTGCTGGGTGATATGGTTGGTTGATGTGCATGCATGGCATGGCATGGTGCATCCTTGAGGTGTGCTGTGATGAGCCGTAGCACTCAACTATGGTAGGATTCTCTTCTTGGCTACAGTAGCTATGCTAATTTGGCCTTTTGCCACCTTACCTACTTAACCTCCAATTTGCACTTTCAATACTCTTACCGTATGTGCTACAACTGTTCAGTTTATCAAAATTTAATTGAGATCTTGTATTGTGCACCAAATTTTACTTACATAGTAGGGAATTCTGAATTGAAAGTGTGCAAACAAATGCAACATGCATCTATGCTGCTTATAGCGAGGACGGTGTTCAGGCAAATTGTCATGCCATCACCATCAGTTCAAACTAAGACATGTATACACCATGTAACAGGAAAGAATCGTGCATAAAAATGCTGTTTACACAGCAACAAATCAGCAACGCAAAAGGCAGCTGGTGTGGGGTGGCATGGCATCAGGAGGGGAAGAGGCGGATGTGCTGCCTGGGCACCACCCCTTCTTGCAGAGCAGCGGCCGGGGGAAAGGTGGGCAGGGCGTGGGGGTCTGCTGGGTGGTGCTGGTGGTGCGGTAGGTGTGGCGACACGAGGGAGAGGAAGGTGAGTGGGCCCCACCCCTTCTTGCCCATGGCTGCTGCTGCCGCATCCTGCAGAGGGGAGAGGGGAAGAGGAGAGAGTGGAGAGGGCTTGTTAGAAATAGCTGGGGGCAGGATAAGCAGGAGAGGAAGGGCCGGGGGGAAAAGCAAGGAGAACAAGGAGCAGACTTGGCGCCTCAGAACAGGGGCATGGAGCAGGGAGGAGTAGAGATGGTGTGGGCTGAGAAGCAGGTCGCAGAGCATGGCGCTGGGAGGCCAACTGACCTCACTGGAGAGCCGCTCGGGCTTGCTCCGTTGTGGCGACCGCAGCCCCCGCTGCTGCGCCCGGCCCGCTGCCGCTGCTGCGGCAGCTGCTGCAGCAGCATGTCCGCCCAGCTGTGCCTCTATCTGCGCCTCTATCTCCGCCTGCGCCTGTGCCTCCACCTCTGCCTGCGCCTGCGCTTGTGCATGCGCCTGCACATGCGCCTGTGCCTGCCCCTGTGCGTGGGCGTGCGTGTGGGCGTGAGGTATTCTGCCGTCCCCGCCAGCGCCGCCAGTGCTGGTGGCGCCCGCCTCTGCCATGGCGCTCACGCGGAACGGCAGGCCTGTCAGCGCCACGCGCCCTGTCGGCCCCGCGTACAGCGCCCCCGCCCCGCCCCCCGCCCCGCCCGCCTCCCTGCCCGCCCCGCCCCTCTGCTGCTCCGCCGCGCCTGGCGCAGCTGCATCCGCGACTGCTGCGCCTGGCGCCGCCCTAGTTGCACCGGCGGGGTCGTTGGGCGCATTGCAGCGGTCGCGCGCATTCGTGGCATTGCCCGCCGCCAGCCGCTGCTGCTGCTGCTGCAGCGCCATCAGCTTTTGCCCCACCTCGGCCGTCACACCCGCCCTCATCGCCGCCAGGTGCTGCTCCTGCCCCTCTTGCGCCTGCCGCTGCTGCTGTTGTTGCTGGTACTGCCGCAGTTGCTGTTGCACCAGTACGGGTACGAACGGCGTTTCATCTTTCACTCTTCGGAACATGGTAGATGGGAACGGCGTGTCATCTCCCCACACGTTACTGAACCCGCGTTTCCCCAGCACTCCCCCGCCTTCCTTCCCCGGCGTCCCCCCACCGTCCTTCTTCGATCCTTCCGCCACTTTCCCCTTCGGCGCACGCGCCCCATCGGCGGGGGCAGGGCGCGGGGCAGAGGGGAACAGCTGCAGTTCCACCAGACTGGACACGCGCGCGGACGGGGACAGCCCTTCCGCCGTCCCGTGCCCGGCTGCCCCGCCCTGCCCGCCCAGAACTGCCGCCCAGCGCGGCAGCGCCGACGTCGCCCCGCCCGCCACGTTCCCCTTCCCCGCAGCCGGCTGCTCCGGCGCCCCCGGCGCAGGGGGGCGAGTGCCCTTCTCTTCCGCCGGCGCGTCCTTGGGGAACGGCGGCTGCACGCCTTCCGCCTGCATGGCGTGCGCGGCGGCGGCGGCGTCCCCCGCGAGAATGGCTTCCGCGGCCTGGATGGTGGCGGGGGAAGGGAAGTACGGCACCATCTGGTCGTTCCACGGGACCACGCCCGGCGCAGCCCCGCCCGCACCGGCCCCCCCGTCCGCGCCGTCCGCTCTCCCCGCCGCCAGTTCCGCCGGTTCTCCATCCGCAACTTGCTTTTTCGCCTCCCCGCACTCCCCCTCCGCCGGTCCTCGCGCCGCCTTCCCCGCCCTGTCCGCCGCCATCACCGCCGCCGCTGCCGCCTCCATCTGAACAGCCAGGGGGAGTTCCTCCCCGCCCGCGCGCACCCCCTGCGCCTCCCCCTCCCCGTTATCCGCAGGCCCGCGCCACGGCCCGACCCCACTGGCGGCGGCGGAGTCGCACGACGCGGAGCGCGCCAACCCCCCTCCGCCGCCCCTCGCGCTGGCCACCAGCGTGCTGTGCGACGCGGCGGGGGCGGAGGCGCCGTTGGCGCAGCTGAGCTCGGGGCGCACGAGCGCGGTGTGCACGCGCATGGGCAGGCGGTGGTCGGGCGCGCGCGAGAACGCGACGAGCACCTCCTCCGTGTCGCCCAGCCCCTCATCGCACCCGTTGGCGGCCGCCGCCTTCAGCGCCGCCTCGCGCTGCCACATCGTATCCACCGCCTCCTGCAGCCGCTGCCGCGCCGTCAGCACATCAAGCACCGGCCGCGGGTAATTCGCGCCGAGCTCCACCCCCGCCATGCGCAGCACGACGGGCGGCGCGTCCCACGGGTGGTGGATCCAATCCGTCGGCACGCGCGCGAGTTCCGGCACCCATCTCCGCACGTATTCCCCCTCGGGGTCAAAACGATACCCGTCCTCCTCGGGATCATCCATGCGATCCAGCTCGTGGCCGTCGGGCAGCGAGCCGCTGATGTACTGCCAGCCCAGCACGTCGGCCTCGAGATCGGCGTCGAGCAGCGTGTCCCAGAAGTACTTCATGCCCCACCGCCACGGCAGCTGCAGGAACTTCACGCAGAACGACGCCACCACCACGCGGATGCGGTTGTGCAGCCACCCCGTCGCCCACAGCTCGCGCATCCCCGCGTCGACGAGCGGGTACCCCGTGCGCCCCTGCCGCCATAGCTTGAACATGTGCTCGTCCACGCGCCACGGGAAGTGCTTGAGGTTCGCGAGGAGCGAGCGCTCGTGCGTGAAGGGGAAGTTGAAGGAGAGGTAGCGCGAGTACTCGCGGAAGCCCAGCGCGCGCACGAACTGCGCGACGCTCTCCGCCGCGCGCGGAAGGCCGTCCTTCTGCCACGCGACGCTGAGGCGCTGGCACTCGTGGAAGATGCGGCGCGCGGAGATCTCGCCGAAGTGCAGGTGCGGGGAGAGCAGCGACGTCGTCGCGCTGTCCGCCTTGCTGCGGTTCGCGGCGTACTCGAGCAGCGGCCCGTGCAGGAACGCGACGAGCGCGCGGTCCGCGTTGGTGCAGCCGGGCAGCCAGGCGCGCGCGAGCAGGTCGTTGCTGGGGCGCTCGTCGTCCGCCTCGAGCCCCAGCAGGTCCACCGCCACGCTCCGCACGAACCCCAGCGGCCCGCACAGGCGCGCGGGCGCGGGGAGCGGCGGGTCGGGGCGCGAGGGGCGCGGGTGGTGCAGGCAGTGGCGCCAGAAGGAGCGGAAGGTGGTGAAGGCCTTGCCGTGGTCGTCGAAGATCTCCCAGGGCTCGAAGAGCAGATCCGCGTTGAACGAGCGCACCACCACTCCGCGCCGACTCAGCTCCTGCTTCACGCGGTGGTCGCGCACCAACGACGCGGGGTCTGCGCGGAGATGGGGGAGTGGGGGCGGGATGGGGAGAGGGGGAGGGCAAGAGGGAGGGAGGGAGTGAGGGAGTAGCATGAGGGATCTGTAAGGTCGGTGGTCGACGGGTCAGACACGGGCGGCATACAATGGAGGGACGAGAAGGAAAGGGCCAGATTTGAGAAGCCCATGCACGGAAACAGGGAGGGGCGATGGGCGGAGGGCAGCGCACCGTAGAGGTGGTTGTAGAAGACCTGCGTGGCGCCGGTGGCCGCCATGACTTCCAGCAGCACCGCCAGGGTCGACTTGGCGCGCCGCATGAACAGCGGCACGCCCAGAGCCGTGAGCGCGGCGTGCAGCTGCGAGAGCGAGTTGCGCAGCCACCAGCGCGACACGCGGCCGGGGAAGAACTGTCCCTCCTCCTCCGGGGACCACACGAAGAGCGGCACCACCGCGCCCTGCTGCGCCGCCGCGATGAGAGCGGGGTTGTCCTCGACGCGCAGGTCGCGGCGGAACCACACTATCGTTGTCACCTTCGACGTGCGCGCCGCTGCAAACGCTGCTGACACCTGACTCGACGTCATATTCGCGGATGGGGGTGTCTGAAGAGAATTCTAAGATACAGATTTCCTTTTTACATAAGCTTATCGCCCCGCTGTAGCAGGAAAAAGTGTCAGTATTCCATGTCGACGCATCGACGGAGCGCACTTACCGCGAGAGAACTACGCGCAACGAGAAAGGTGAAAATATTTTTTGGCAGCTCAGGCCAGGAATTCGTTGTGACAAAGGAACGAAGCTCACAAAAGTGACAACTAGGGTTTCACAAGTTTGGTCAGATCCCTAGGGTCGTGGAACAGAACACTGAACAGAAGCAGGTTGGGTAGGAGGGAGAGGGAGAAGAGTGAGAGGGCCTCACGGCGAGGACGATGGAACGTCCGCAGGTGATGTCATTCCACCGTAGTTGAACCATTTCCACCTTCTTGAAGCTCTAGCCAATCGCACTGTAACTCTCCGTTACAAACTTTATGATTGCAACAGTCTGGTGGGTGGTGGGGAGAAGAGATGGTGAGAAAATCCGTCACATGCAATGCAGGGCAGGAGGAGGTCTCCCAATAACTGGATTCCCGCTCTGACCCGGGCAGGAAAAGCAGTGCATGGAACAAGCTGGCTAGTTGCTGGTGGGGTTGTGGATGGGATTGGAAGGGCTTGGATAGCAGCGGTCACGGAGAAGGGTAACACTGTTCCAATGTTTCCCGGAAACGGGTGTTTTGGGAAGATGGTGATGGATGGGGGGAATCGATGGAGCACAATGCTGGGGAAGGAGAGGCTCCTTTCCTGTGATTCAGTATGATTGCTCCGCTCCGCAAGTCCGCGACCACGAGCGCATAAACTTTCCGCAACACCTTGGAGTTGCCGCTGTGCGGGAAAGGGGCGGCCCGCCCGCCGAGCAAATTGCCCCTCACTGCACCAAAGCATATGCACGAGCGAACCGGAAGGCTCCGTGTCACACTTCGTCCAGGCCCACCTGGCTGCAGCCAGCCATTGCTCTCATCCACCGAACCGAAATTGATTTGTTTTGTCGCGTTTGCTCCCAATCGCCAAAAGTCCACCGCGAGAATGTGCAAGCTTCGATTTAGCGGTCGGCACTGATCGCAACAAATCAGATCCAGACCATGTGGATGGGTTCTCTGCCAGCTTAGAACAGCCACACCAGCCACGCTTCCACACATAGGGACAACTTTCAGCAGTAGGTTGGTTTCAGGAATCCCGAGAAACAAGGAGGTGATGGAGCAGGAAGAAGCTCTGCAGTCCAGGGGAAATGCTAAGTTTACATTACAAATAAAGAATATCATTGGTCAGCACACACTGGGCAATAACATGTTATATCTTTGCTTATACATCGTATCGACCCCTCATTCCAACTCAGAAAACATTGAGCCGCCAACACATGCATTTTCCAGGAATGGAGTATTCTTTCCAGCTGGTGGCTCACGTACGTACTATTACACAACAGAACGACTCCCCTTGATCCTAGGCACTCAATGACACTTTGTTAGGAAACAATGCAATAATAAACTATGCGGTGCTTGTATTCACACCAGATCCTCAGCAACCTTGAGTGACTCTGGTGGGCCACTTGCAGACTTTGCAGATCCCACGGGCTTTGAATTGGCAACACCATTGGCCCCTTCCACACTCGCTACCACAGCAACTCCATTGGTGGTGCTCCCTGCCACCTTCAAGCTGCTAGCTCCCCCTCCTGCTGCAGCGCCAGCCGCGGCGGCAGCAGCAGCAGCAGCGGCAGCGTCTTTCATGGCCAGCTCCTGCTGCAGCAGCTGCACCATGCCCTCCGCCTGCTCCTTCTGCAGCTTCCACTGCCGCGCCGCCGCCTGCAGCTGCTGGATCTCCTCCCGCTGCTGCCGCAGCTCCCCTGTCAGCCGCTCAATCTCCGCTGCCACGGCCTCGCCGCGCTCGTCGTCGCTCTCCTCCTCCTGCTGCTGCCGCCTCGCCTCTGCCGCTGCTGCCAGGTCGTCCTCCATGGATAGCAGGCCCTGGGAGGTGGGGGGATGGCAGGGCAGGGGAGCACCAAGGGTGGCGTCAGAGGATCGTCCAGTTTGGCTTGCTTGCTGTGGAAACCATCAGGCATGCGCGCAGCAACAACTTGCAGTGCATTGTCGCTATGTGCATGCGCACGTGCGTGACGGTGTATGTGTGTGCCTGGGTGTGCTCCAGCAGGTGTGTGTGTGCTTGTGTGTGTTGGGTGGGGATGCAGGGAGCGATGGGAGGTGCATGCACCACAGCAAGCCTTGAAATAGCCGGGAGCACATGCGAGGCGGGCGGCACGGCACTAGGAGAGGGCGGGCAGCACGGCACTAGGAGAGGGCGGGCAGCACGGCACTAGGAGAGGGCAGGCAGGGCGGCACTAGGAGAGGGCGGGCAGCACGGCACTAGGAGAGGGCGGGCAGGGCGGCACTAGGAGAGGGCGGGCAGCACGGCACTAGGAGAGGGCGGGAAGGGCGGCACTCACATTGTCGACCTCGAGGAACTTGCGGAAGGATGCTGCTATGGCAGTCGTCTGACGGGCACGGGAGGGGCAACACAATGGAGCGGGCAACGCAAGGATGGGCATAACGGGTGGAGAGAGCATGAGAAAAGGGGGCAGGGGAACCAGCTGGTGGGGACAACAGGTCTGCAACGAGGGAAGAGCACAGCCGGCAGATGCTGAGCAACACGTGGCATGCCCGCAACACCTCCCCACCCTCTCTTCCCCTCCCTTCCTGTCCCCTTCCGCCCCCACCTGGGCGGCGGACCAATCAGAGGTGGCGGAGCCGGTGTGCCCCCCGTTGTTGCGCTGCTCGTAGATCTGAGTGGCCAGCGCCGTCATCTCCTCCTGCCGCCCCTCCAGCAGCCGCCGCTTGGCGTCCGCCAGGCAGTCCAGGTACGGGTGCGCGATGGGGCGAGCATTCTTGACGAGCGTGACAGCCTCGTCGCGGCGCAGCCCCTGCACGAAGTAGAGGTACGCCACGCACGTGAGCGACGCGCGGTTGATGCCCGCCGTGCAGTGCACGTACACCGTGTGCCCGCGGTGCAGCAGCACGTTCACCACCCGCACCGCCTCCGGTAGCATGAACGCCTGGCAAGCACACAGGGGCGAAAGGAGGGTGGAGCCATGGAGAGGCCGGGGGGGAGGGAAGAGAGGGCGGGAGGAGGGGGGAGGGAGGGAGAGCAAGGGGGTGAGTGTGTGGAGGAGGGGGAGGGGGTGCAATAATGAGACCAGATTTTGAAGTGGAATGTGGAGATTGGATCGGCAATACGAGGAGTGGAAGGTGGGAAGGAATGGGAAGGGACATGAGCACGCCTGAGAGCAGAGCAGTGGAGAGGAGGAGGGAGACAGGGGTGTATGTGTGGTGGCACCTGGTCGCCGTGGTCGAAGTCTCTGATTGGCACTCGCGCCAGCAGCACCCCTCGCTCCACCGCCCGCGCCCGAATGCTCTCAAACGGAATCTGATGTGCCCATAGCCACCGCACACCATGCAGCATCACCCAGCAGCACCGCACCGCACCGCAATAACACAGCACAGCACACGCAGCACAGCACGCAGAACAGCCAGGACAAGAGTGAGTGGGGCAAGCACCACACGAGCCATAGTGAAGAGGAGAGCAGGGGTTGCAACTTCACAGGTTGGTTGAGGGCGCGAATCTCGGTTTCTGCTTGCGCCTAGAAACCAAGGAAAGCTAATTCGTACTTCCTCATTTGCGTTGATTTCGTCTGAATTCCTTTGAAAGCGTATGCTCCTTATCGTTCCCGCGTGTGGTGCTCGATTGAATGCATCACCTCATGCATCACCTCGGCACGTACCAGCTCGTGGGGGGTTGGCAGTGAGTGTGTGGGGGTGGCGGCACTGACCTGTGTGGGGGTGTGTGACGCACCTGCAGCGCGTCGAAGCAGAGGTCGGACTGCAGGTTCAGGATCGCCGTCGCCCCCGCCTCGTCCGCTATGCGGTCCTGCCGGCCGCGGAGAGATGAACCGGGCAACGGATGCATGCGGAGGGACACACGGAGGGATGAGCACGGGCACACGGAGGCACGCGGAGACACGCGGGGACACAAGGACAAAGAGGGGCGAGCGGGACAAGCGCATGCTGGAACGGAGATGAACAAAGATACCGCTGCCTGGTGCCGTGGGGCACGGTTGCTGCGAGCAGCGGCGACGAGCAGAGCGGCAGAGGCGGCAGTCATGCCAGCAGTTAGGGTAGCACTCAGCAGAGCGGTGAGAAGAGGCCAAGAAGGGAGAGGGACTGACAACGTCGTCCGGCGAGCGAGGGCAGGAGCCGACGATGAGGTTGGGCAGGATGTGGTTCCAGTTGAGCGTCCACCGCCACTCGTCCACCGTGCCCGCCTCCGCCGCCTCCGCCTCCTTCTCCGCCTTCTGCGCCGCCTCCTCCGCTGCCTCGTTCTGATGGCATCAGAGCACCACACGGCGGGGAGTCCCGGACGAACAACGACGTGAACTAGCGATTAACACACGCGGGGTTTCGTATGCAACGGATAACCGCCGTCAAAACGGCACAAGGTATTGATAGTTCTCGTTCACTGAAGTGATAGCTTCCAAGGAACTATAAGAAGTTGTACGCATGAGAATGGTGACAATCGTAAAAACTTTCAGAGAGACGAGATGGCTACACGTATGCACATATTTCTTAAGTAAGCGATGCCTACCCGCCGTTTCCGCCAACCCTCTTTCTCCGCTTCGGTCATTTCGACCGACGCTCGAACGGCGACTCCGCGCGGGCTGGCGTGATCTCGACGGCGTGGGAGCCCACCGTCGATACGCCTGGCGCCGGAAAACGAGCACCGCCTTGATTGCGAGAGCTTTACTGCGCCGTCAGTGGCGCATCGAATGCCATTTGCTGTTAATGACGCATGATACGCCGCTGATGCCATTGCGACGACGACCTAGCAACCTATTATAGAGAAGTTCAGCTGAAATCCTCTCTAACAAGTACCCTTTATTACTATCAGTTTCAAGCGGAATGAATACCTAAAACTAGATTTAGTACTGCCCTGGACGGTGATCAGAGACGCCAGAGCACAAGCCGGGCAAGTGCTGGGATGCCGGCGGAGCTCCTGGGGAATGGATCTTCTGAACTGAATGGATGAATGCGTCTCAAGTGAAGAGCGAAGGCAGAGTTGCGAGGATGCAAAAGGTGGAAGGCGGGGAGAGGACAGGCGGAAGGAAGGTCGGTTCGCGACGATTTCGCAAGTTGGCGACGACTCGACGAAGACTCAACGACGGTCGTCAGAGCGGCAAACCAAGCCGTTGATGCAGGGATATGGGCTGCCATTTGGCAACTGCTCGACGTGGAAAGTGCAGCGGACAGATGGCGCGGTCTGCTACGCCAACAGCCGCGAGCTCCTGGATTCTGGGGACGGAAATATCTCCCTTTGCAGCAAGACCTGATGCGTCTGGCGGGGGCTCCGCCTCGTTTCGATACAATATACGAGGGTAAAAAGCGTATTTGGAAATACTTAGTTTCTACTGTCAATAACCGCAACAAAAGAAAGCAAATGTCATTTGGAGACTAGAAAGACTATGCTAAAATAGCTCGCTACATAATGGGTTAAACTACACCTAGTGGAGGTAGTTAGGTGTGTCATTTGTCTTTCGATTTAAGAATATTGCGACATGCGTCGAGGCAATTTCTTGGTATAAGGCTGAGGCACTTCTTGTAGTCACTGTTTTGGCTCGTTGGAAAGGCCTGAAAGAGAACAAACCAATGGCAGGGTCACTATCCAGAGGCAACCTGATCTCACTACAAAACAAGACACAATCCACCATAAGAAGCAAACGGCAGCAGCGCCATAAGCTCACCTTGTCACACGCCTCACTGACCGCCATTTGGCACGCCTCGCTGCAGAGGTGCATGCGATCAGCCAGGGATGCGTCCTCCCTGCCAGCCGCGGAACAGGCACAGCGACAAGCAGGGCAAGGTGAGGACCAAGGAGGTCATACATGTCACGGTCCCACAATAGGCTGAATGCTCGCACGATGAGTAAGCAGGACGAGACACACACAGCAAGCGGCAGAAAGTGACCAGCAAAGCGCATGTGAAACGGAGGCACGGATAGAGTGGTGAGCGTGAGAGTGGTGAGCGTGAGAGTGCAGTACGCACTTGCACCGCTTGGTGCGGAAAATCTCCTGGTTTCCCACCAGCTCACAACAGAACTCTATCACCTCCGCCTTCTTGTCCGCCTGAAGCAGAGAGCACAGCAGCAGGCGGCGCGAGGAATGGAGTGCGAAGCGTGCAGCACAGGTGCAGGCACGCAAGCAAGCAGTAGAGCAGGCGTGGGGGGCAAGAGGTGGTGCGCAGATGGACACGCGGAGCAGCGGAGAGGGGCAAAGCGAGAGGAGGGGGGAGGCAGGGAGGGGGTGCGAGGGGGGACGAGAGAGCAAGGGGAGGGGAGGTGAGTGAGGAACGCACGCTAGGCATCGCTCCCAGAGCTCCATGCCGTTCCGCTTGTGCGCATCGATCTCTATGCACCGCCGCACCTCACACCCCTGCTCCACCCGCAGGGCAACGGGCAACGGGCGGGCGTCATCGAGTCGGACACGAGGGGGTGGAGAGGACACGGATTGCCGCAGGCATAAGGACGAGGAGGGGAGGGAGCCGCAGTGAGAATTTGGCAAAGTGGATAGCATAATGACTTGGGGCAAATGGAAAGAGGACAGATGCATGGTTCTGGGGTAGCGACTTCCTGAAGCACAGTGGACAAATATGCATCATGGATCACAGAAAAAGCACGGCACGATTAGCATGGCATGGCATGGAAAGGCACCGTCATGGCACAGCACGGCACGGCACAACATGACATGGCATGACATGGTACAGCAGCGCATGGCAGGCCGGCGCACCTCGGCGGCCTTCTCCATGGCGCGCAGCTGCTCCGTGGTGGGCAGCCCGTGCTTCCGCGCGTACGCCACGCGCGACGAGTACCCCACTATGCCGCGCGCCGGCACCAGCGCGTTGCTCGTCTGTGGGGGGAAAGTGCAGAGGCGGAGACGAGGGGCAAGAGCTAATGCAGGTGAAGGGGGAAGGATCGTAGCGCTGGGTGGGAGGGGACTAGACAGCCATATGCGGACGTGGCGATGAAAGGACTGCTGCGCACCGTTTGATGACCTCACAGTTGCCGTTTACTGACGTCATACCTGCCACTTGATGACGGCCTCCTCCGTTGCCGTGCCGAAGTACCCCGACGGCTCCTCGTACAAGAATCCCTGCCACGTCGGACACGACCACAGGCTCTTAGCGACACGGCCTGGTACAGGCTCTGAAAACAAGCGAGTTAGAAACGAGTAAGACGCGACGCAGAGCATCAGCGCATGCACGAAACCGATTCGCCGCGATGACCAAACGCTGTTCTATGCGCGCACCTCCGTGCCCGCATGCGCACCTTGGTGCATCAGTATGCCCCATGGTCTGCACGGTCTCTATGGTCACTATGATCTCTACGGGCTGTAAGGGCTGCAGGGCGCACCTCAGTGCGAAGGTACTCCTGCAGGCAGCTGACGTCACCGCCGTAGCTGCCGCGCTTGAGGTCGCGATGGAAGTAGCACGCGCGCCCGCCCGCCACCTCGTCGCCCTCCCCCGACGCCATCCGCGCGCCCTCGCGCCCCGCCCTGCTCGCCGCTCGTCGCTCTACAACCGGAAACTTCTTTCTACGGCGGACTAACAGCGGCAAAGCGGTACGTTACACGCGCCGTCCTATCGCCATAACCGCGGGGAAAAGCACGAGCGTTGATCGAGCCTGCGACTAGGAGCCTAGAATTCGAAGTTGCTTCAGAAATGACGAATTCAAGTGCTGAGAGGCGGAGCAGACCAGAGAGGGTGATGCGAGAAGATGGTCAGAATGGCCTCGAACCAGTCAGAGGCGTTCCCGCCAAGAAATGAACCTTGAGATTACAAAACCTCGCTTCTCGACTCCAAGTGCATCTCCTGCAAGATTTCGTTTGCGCACCTGCAATGCTTCAGCCTTCTTTTGAATATCATTGGGACAACCGGGTTCCACACTAACGAGGAAATCACAGACACAGTCCATGAACTGTATTTCTGTATTCGGTGTAGATATTCGCAACCATTGGCTGACGAGGCTGTTGTTTTCCTCCAATCCTACCCAAACCAAAGCAGCGTCAGCGCGCCACTTGTTCACGTGGTAGGCAGCCAAGTCGCGTGGAATGCGGTGCGAGCCTGGCTCGTAACCGTAAAGCTCCACTCCCCGCACAGCCATGGCCACCGCCTACAGCACGCAGCGCTTTCTCTCTGCCGTCTCCGCCTCGCGCCCTCTCGGTAGTCCACTGCGATCGTCTGACGTGTCATTTCGTCCGCGTCCGTTCGTCCCGTCGCATTCAAGCTGTCACTCCCGCCGCGCGTCTCACCGCCAGCGAGTAATGCCGCGCGCGTCGGCAGCGGATTCCAGTGCGCGCGGCATCGAGGACGGCCGCTCCGCCAAAGTGCGTAGGCGCTGAATAGTATTCGTTTGCGCCACGCGCCCGTTGTTCTCTGGCGTCCTGTGCCGTCGGATTGCCGTCCATCGAGTGTGCGCAGTCAACCGAGAAAGTTGCTGACCACGCTTTCCCCCCTCCTGCACGCTGCCTCCGTCGCCGCCATTGACCGCGGTCTCGCATACCGCGCTCGTCGTCGCCGCATTATGCATATTTCATGCTCTCTCATACCCCACATGTCCGCGCCGCGCACGCCATGTCCAACTGCCCGTTCTCCATGCGACCCCATCTCCCACAGGGCGTAGAAGACGCGTTTCCCGCCATGGCGGTCCCATCCCAGCTGACGTCACCCCTGCTGGCAGCCAATGGGGGGAGCAGCCCGCCGCCTGCAGCAGCTGAGAGCACCCCGCCCACCAGCGCTGCCGTGTGGACTGCTGCCGCCCTGCCGTGAGTTGCCTGCGACTCCATCAGCCACACATGTCCTTCCTAATCCTCTAGTCCTGCTCTCCGCCGTGCTCCCCCTTCCACCTGTCCATCAAGCAACACCGTGCCACCGTGTTCCTCCCTCCCTCCCCGCCACCCCATCTCCCCGCTGCAGCTTCCTCTTCCCGGCGCTGGGCGGGGTGCTCTTCGGCTACGACATCGGCGCCACCTCCAGCGCTCTGCTCTCCCTCAAGGTGCGCGTGTGTGGGTGGCAGCGTGTGGAGGGTGCAGTGCAGCACAGGCGGTGAGAGGAGAGGCACACAACACAGTGGTGGGAACGCACATCCTCATCCTCCTGTCTCCTGCCTGCTCCCTCTGCTCTTCCCCTCCCTCTTCCCCCTCCCCTCTCCCCCTTCCGCGTTCCTCATCTGTTTTACCATGTGCCCTGCCTTTGCTGCGTGGCATGGGGAGGGGCGGAGGGGGGCAGGACCCAGTGCTGTCAGGCACGGACTGGTTTGACCTCTCCTCCACGGCTGTTGGCCTCGTGGTGCGTGCCCTGTCTCACTCTCACGCACTCGCTTGCTCACTCACCCACTCGTTCACTCACTCACTCACTCACTCACGTGCACACTCTCTGACCCTCTCACTCACTCACTCAATCACGCATTCACACACTCACCCGCCTCTCTCACCCCATGGCTCTCTGCTCGTCACGCCCCTGCCATGCCGCCATGCCCCCGCCTGCCGTCACATCAAGCGACCTGCAATTATGCTCTTGCCCTTGCTGTTCTCTGCCTCCATTCATTGTGTGCCTGCCTCTCCTCGCCCTTCCACGCCCTCCCATCCACGCCCCTTCACGCCCCTCACCTTCCCCTCACATCACGCTCCGCCAGGTGAGTGGGTCGCTGGGAGGAGCGCTGCTGGGCTGTCTGCTCGCCTTCCGCATCGCCGACCCTCTCGGTAACCACACCCCCAACCAGCCCCTCTCGGTAACCACACCCCCAACCAGCCCCTCTCGGTAACCACACTCCCACCAGCCCTTCTCGGTAACCACACTCCCACCAGCCCCTCTCGGTAACCACACTCCCACCAGCCCCTCTCGGTAACCACACTCAAACCAGCCCCTCTCGGTAACCACACCCCCACCAGCCCCTCTGGTAACCACACTCCCACCAGCCTCTCTCGGTAACCACACTCCCACCAGCCCCTCTCGGTAACCACACTCCGATCAGCCCCTCCCCTCACCTCCACTAGCCCTTCCCCTCACCTACTCCCTTCTACACCTCACACCCCTTTTCCGTGCCGCATCCCCCTCACCCGCACTTCTCTTCCTGCCGTCTTCGAGGTCCCACTGCCTCCCTCGCCCTCACCTCACCCCCCCCTCTTTCTCTTAATCCTCCTCCTCCTCCTGCTGCTGCTCCCCCTCCCCCTCCCTCTCCCCCCCCCCCCCCCCGCCCACCGCCACCGCGTGCGACGCATGTGCAGGGCGGAGGAGGGAGCTGGTGCTGGCGGCGGGGCTCTTCTTCACGGGAGCGCTGCTCACAGCCTCCGCCACCTCCCTGCCTGCGCTGCTGGCTGCTCGCCTCGTCTACGGCTCCGCCATCGGCCTTGTCAGTGCCCCGCCCTGCCCTGCCCTGCCCTGCCCTGCCACGCCTTGCCCTGCCCTGCCACGCCTTGCCCTGCCCTGCCACGCCTTGCCCTGCCCTGCCACGCCTTGCCTTGCTCTGCCTCGCATGCCCATTTTTTCCTTCTCCCCTGCCTCTCGCCTTCTCTTCTCCTGCTCGCCCTTCCCTCTTCCCCTTCGCCAACTGCCTGGCTTTCTCTTGCTGCTCTCGTTCCTCTCACTGCTCTTCATCAGCTGCCCACCACTCTTGCAGCATGTGTGTGTGTGTGCGTGTGCGTGTGTGACTGAGTGAGTGTGTGTGTGCATGCATGCATATCCACACGTGCCCCCCCCCAGGCCATGCATGCGGCGCCCATGTACATAGCGGAGACCAGCCCACCGGCCATACGGGGCACGCTCATCGCGCTCAAAGAAGCCTTCATTGTCGCCGGCATCCTCGTGAGCCCCGCCTCCCACTCTGCTGCGCGCCACCTCCCATGCTGCTGCGTCCCACCTCCCATGCTGCTGCGCCCCACCTCCCATGCTGCTGCGCCCCACCTCCCACTCTGCTGCGCCCCACCTCCCATGCTGCTGCGCGCCACCTCCCATGCTGCTGCGCGCCACCTCCCATGCTGCTGCGCCCCACCTCCCATGCTGCTGCGCCCCACCTCCCATGCTGCTGCGCGCCACCTCCCATGCTGCTGCGCGCCACCTCCCATGCTGCTGCGCCCCACCTCCCATGCTGCTGCGCCCCACCTCCCATGCTGCTGCGCCCCACCTCCCATGCTGCTGCGCCCCACCTCCCATGCTGCTGCGCCCCACCTCCCATGCTGCTGCGCCCCACCTCCCATGCTGCTGCGCCCCACCTCCCATGCTGCTGCGTCCCACCTCCCATGCTGCTGCGCCCCACCTCCCATGCTGCTGCGCCCCACCTCCCATGCTGCTGCGCCCCACCTCCCATGCTGCTGCGCGCCACCTCCCATGCTGCTGCGCGCCACCTCCCATGCTGCTGCGCGCCACCTCCCATGCTGCTGCGCCCCACCTCCCATGCTGCTGCGCGCCACCTCCCATGCTGCTGCGCGCCACCTCCCATGCTGCTGCGCGCCACCTCCCATGCTGCTGCGCGCCACCTCCCATGCTGCTGCGCCCCACCTCCCATGCTGCTGCGCCCCACCTCCCATGCTGCTGCGCCCCACCTCCCATGCTGCTGCGCCCCACCTCCCATGCTGCTGCGCCCCACCTCCCATGCTGCTGCGCCCCACCTCCCATGCTGCTGCGCCCCACCTCCCATGCTGCTGCGCCGCACCTCCCATGCTGCTGCGCCCCACCTCCCATGCTGCTGCGCGCCACCTCCCATGCTGCTGCGCGCCACCTCCCATGCTGCTGCGCGCCACCTCCCATGCTGCTGCGCGCCACCTCCCATGCTGCTGCGCGCCACCTCCCATTCTGGTCCATTGCCCTCACAGTGTTGTCTCTCCCCTCTGTACTATCCCTCTGCCCTCTGCCCGTCACTTGCTTGCTGCCCTGCCGGGGGTCGTGTGTTGCGGGGCATGGCGACGGGCGAGGCCAGCTGGGGTACGTGAGTGGCAGTGTGCTGGTGGGCACGGAGGGCGCGTGGCGAGGCATCTACGGGGTGGCAGCGCCGCTGGCACTCGTGATGGCGGGCGGCATGGCGTGGCTGCCGCCCTCCCCCCGCTGGCTGCTGCTGCGCGCCCAGCAGCAGCACCACCACCGGGAGACGCGCGGGCAAGAGGGGGAGGATGGGCAGGATGGGCAGGCGGGGGCCAGGGGCGAGGAGGCGCGGAGGCGGGCAGTGGAGGCGGTGAGGCGGCTGAGGGGGGGCGCGTGTGGGGAGGGGGAGGCGCGGAGGGAGGTGCAAGGCATGGTGGAGGCCATGGGGGAGGGGGGGGGCAAGGGGGGTGCAAGTGGGTGGGGCGAGCTGGTGGCAGGGGCGAGTGGGCGCGCGCTGGTGATTGCCTGTGGGCTCGTGTTCTTCCAGCAGGTGGGCTCGTCACATTCCCACAGGGGTTTCATGCCCGTGTGCCAGCCAGCCTTCATCGTGACGTAGACGTAGGCGTGTGCACTTTCATGGCGATGGCATGGATGGGCTGATGGGATGGAGCACAGGGGTCTTGTGCATGGAGGAGAAGCGTGGCACGTGGTGCCCGCCCCCCCCCCCCCGCCCCACCTCTCCCCCGCCTCGCCTCTCCTCTCGCCTGCCTCTTTTTTTGTTTTCATTATGTATATATCAAAATACACCGGAAAGGCAAGCGTATAAGAGATATATGTCAGTCGTAACTGAGCGTGAGAGGCCAACCCTCAGTGGTGGCCCCATGCGAGACTTCTAAGGCGGATGCAGAGCCCCCCTTGCAAGACTCCAAAGCGCGCCAAAACTGTGCGTCCACTTCCAGCCCTTCGCCGTCGGACAACGGATGCGTCCAAGCAAGCTGTCCTCCTGTCCTGCCAGCGCATGTGATTTGCCGTGTTTTTTCAAACCGCCGCTTTTCCCGAGCTTCCTCCCCATGGCACGCGTGTACACCCTCACATGCAACCGAAAGGCTGCCTCAATGCGCCTGAGGACGTGCCGAGCCCGGAATCTCCGCCCGCCCGGAATCTCCGCCCGCCCGGAATCTCTGCCCGCCCGGAATCTCCGCCCGCCCGGAATCTCCGCCCGCCCGGAATCTCTTCCCCCGGAACACACAGTCACACCGCTCCGCCCAGATCTGATGTATCGCAATGGCGGAAAGAGATGCTTCAGGAAACGCTGAGGCAGAGGCTGCTTTCCCGAACAGCAGGTCCCCCAGCTCCGACACATGTCTCGCTGGGTTCAGTACACGCAAGGCCCTCCTGACTGCCACCACCACTTGCTGGATGCGCGGGCAGCTGAAGAGGCAGTGTTCCACTGTTTCGAATTCCCCACAGTGTGGGCACACCGGTTTGCCACTTAGGAAAGAGAGCCTCTCCCCCACTTGCAGGTTGAGGCTGTGAATCCTAAGCAGCACGTCACGCGGCCTGTCGCCTGCCTCTTATGCTCTTCCCCTCTTCGTCCCTCCTTCTGGCCCGCCTGCCCTCCCTGCAGGTCACAGGGCAGCCCAGCGTGCTCTACTATGCAGGCTCCATCCTCCAGGTGCCTCCATCCTCCAGGTGCCTCCATCCTCCAGGTGCCTCCATCCTCCAGGTGCCTCCATCCTCCAGGTGCCTCCATCCTCCAGGTGCCTCCATCCTCCAGGTGACTCCATCCTCCAGGTGCCTCCATCCTCCAGGTGCCTCCATCCTCCAGGTGCCTCCATCCTCCAGGTGCCTCCATCCTCCAGGTGCCTCCATCCTCCAGGTGACTCCATCCTCCAGGTGACTCCATCCTCCAGGTGACTCCATCCTCCAGGTGCCTCCATCCTCCAGGTGCCTCCATCCTCCAGGTGCCTCCATCCTCCAGGTGACTCCATCCTCCAGGTGCCTCCATCCTCCAGGTGCCTCCATCCTCCAGGTGCCTCCATCCTCCAGGTGCCTCCATCCTCCAGGTGCCTCCATCCTCCAGGTGCCTCCATCCTCCAGGTGCCTCCATCCTCCAGGTGCCTCCATCCTCCAGGTGCCTCCATCCTCCAGGTGCCTCCATCCTCCAGGTGCCTCCATCCTCCAGGTGCCTCCATCCTCCAGGTGCCTCCATCCTCCAGGTGCCTCCATCCTCCAGGTGCCTCCATCCTCCAGGTGCCTCCATCCTCCAGGTGCCTCCATCCTCCAGGTGCCTCCATCCTCCAGGTGCCTCCATCCTCCAGGTGCCTCCATCCTCCAGGTGCCTCCATCCTCCAGGTGCCTCCATCCTCCAGGTGCCTCCATCCTCCAGGTGCCTCCATCCTCCAGGTGCCTCCATCCTCCAGGTGCCTCCATCCTCCAGGTGCCTCCATCCTCCAGGTGCCTCCATCCTCCAGGTGCCTCCATCCTCCAGGTGCCTCCATCCTCCAGGTGCCTCCATCCTCCAGGTGCCTCCATCCTCCAGGTGCCTCCATCCTCCAGGTGCCTCCATCCTCCAGGTGCCTCCATCCTCCAGGTGCCTCCATCCTCCAGGTGCCTCCATCCTCCAGGTGCCTCCATCCTCCAGGTGACTCCATCCTCCAGGTGACTCCATCCTCCAGGTGACTCCATCCTCCAGGTGACTCCATCCTCCAGGTGACTCCATCCTCCAGGTGACTCCATCCTCCAGGTGACTCCATCCTCCAGGTGACTCCATCCTCCAGGTGCCTCCATCCTCCAGGTGCCTCCATCCTCCAGGTGCCTCCATCCTCCAGGTGCCTCCATCCTCCAGGTGCCTCCATCCTCCAGGTGACTCCATCCTCCAGGTGACTCCATCCTCCAGGTGCCTCCATCCTCCAGGTGCCTCCATCCTCCAGGTGCCTCCATCCTCCAGGTGCCTCCATCCTCCAGGTGCCTCCATCCTCCAGGTGCCTCCATCCTCCAGGTGACTCCATCCTCCAGGTGACTCCATCCTCCAGGTGACTCCATCCTCCAGGTGACTCCATCCTCCAGGTGACTCCATCCTCCAGGTGACTCCATCCTCCAGGTGACTCCATCCTCCAGGTGACTCCATCCTCCAGGTGACTCCATCCTCCAGGTGACTCCATCCTCCAGGTGCCTCCATCCTCCAGGTGCCTCCATCCTCCAGGTGACTCCATCCTCCAGGTGCCTCCATCCTCCAGGTGCCTCCATCCTCCAGGTGCCTCCATCCTCCAGGTGCCTCCATCCTCCAGGTGCCTCCATCCTCCAGGTGACTCCATCCTCCAGGTGCCTCCATCCTCCAGGTGACTCCATCCTCCAGGTGCCTCCATCCTCCAGGTGCCTCCATCCTCCAGGGGCCTCCATCCTCCAGGTGCCTCCATCCTCCAGGTGCCTCCATCCTCCAGGTGCCTCCATCCTCCAGGTGACTCCATCCTCCAGGTGACTCCATCCTCCAGGTGACTCCATCCTCCAGGTGCCTCCATCCTCCAGGTGCCTCCATCCTCCAGGTGCCTCCATCCTCCAGGTGCCTCCATCCTCCAGGTGCCTCCATCCTCCAGGTGCCTCCATCCTCCAGGTGCCTCCATCCTCCAGGTGCCTCCATCCTCCAGGTGCCTCCATCCTCCAGGTGCCTCCATCCTCCAGGTGCCTCCATCCTCCAGGTGCCTCCATCCTCCAGGTGCCTCCATCCTCCAGGTGCCTCCATCCTCCAGGTGCCTCCATCCTCCAGGTGCCTCCATCCTCCAGGTGCCTCCATCCTCCAGGTGCCTCCATCCTCCAGGTGCCTCCATCCTCCAGGTGCCTCCATCCTCCAGGTGCCTCCATCCTCCAGGTGCCTCCATCCTCCAGGTGCCTCCATCCTCCAGGTGCCTCCATCCTCCAGGTGCCTCCATCCTCCAGGTGCCTCCATCCTCCAGGTGCCTCCATCCTCCAGGTGCCTCCATCCTCCAGGTGCCTCCATCCTCCAGGTGCCTCCATCCTCCAGGTGCCTCCATCCTCCAGGTGCCTCCATCCTCCAGGTGACTCCATCCTCCAGGTGACTCCATCCTCCAGGTGACTCCATCCTCCAGGTGCCTCCATCCTCCAGGTGCCTCCATCCTCCAGGTGCCTCCATCCTCCAGGTGCCTCCATCCTCCAGGTGCCTCCATCCTCCAGGTGCCTCCATCCTCCAGGTGCCTCCATCCTCCAGGTGCCTCCATCCTCCAGGTGCCTCCATCCTCCAGGTGCCTCCATCCTCCAGGTGCCTCCATCCTCCAGGTGACTCCATCCTCCAGGTGCCTCCATCCTCCAGGTGCCTCCATCCTCCAGGTGCCTCCATCCTCCAGGTGCCTCCATCCTCCAGGTGCCTCCATCCTCCAGGTGCCTCCATCCTCCAGGTGCCTCCATCCTCCAGGTGACTCCATCCTCCAGGTGACTCCATCCTCCAGGTGACTCCATCCTCCAGGTGACTCCATCCTCCAGGTGACTCCATCCTCCAGGTGCCTCCATCCTCCAGGTGCCTCCATCCTCCAGGTGCCTCCATCCTCCAGGTGCCTCCATCCTCCAGGTGCCTCCATCCTCCAGGTGACTCCATCCTCCAGGTGACTCCATCCTCCAGGTGACTCCATCCTCCAGGTGCCTCCATCCTCCAGGTGCCTCCATCCTCCAGGTGCCTCCATCCTCCAGGTGACTCCATCCTCCAGGTGCCTCCATCCTCCAGGTGCCTCCATCCTCCAGGTGCCTCCATCCTCCAGGTGCCTCCATCCTCCAGGTGCCTCCATCCTCCAGGTGCCTCCATCCTCCAGGTGCCTCCATCCTCCAGGTGCCTCCATCCTCCAGGTGCCTCCATCCTCCAGGTGCCTCCATCCTCCAGGTGCCTCCATCCTCCAGGTGCCTCCACGCTTCAGGTTCTTTTGCGCCCTGTCGCTCGTCCCCATCCATGCGTCTGCTGCCCATCCTCTGGTGCGGAGTGCACCCATCTCGAGTCTCCCACTGCCCTGCCTCCCTCGTCCTTGCTTGCCTCACCTCAGCTCACCTCGCCTTGCCTTGCCTCGCCTCACGTGGTCTTGTGTGCCAGGATGCGGGCTTCTCGGCTGCCACTGATGCCACCCGGGTGTCGGTGCTGCTGGGTCTCTTCAAGGTGTGTGCTGCTGCTGCATGTCCAGAGCGCCTGCATGCAGGTTTAAGGCACCACCACGCTTGGGAAAGGCGCCTGCCATGACCAGCCATCACTTGCTCACTTGCCCTTGCCTTTGTCTCTCTGCCTCCATTCCCCCCACCCCTCACGCCCGCACGCTCCTTGCTCCCCCCTCCACCCCCCCCATGGAGCAGCTGGGCATGACGGGCGTGGCCATCGCCACTGTGGACCGCTGGGGCCGCCGCCCTCTGCTGCTCGCTGGCGTCTCCGGCCTCGTGGGTACCAGGGCTCGTGGGTGCCAGGGCTGGTGGGCGGCAGGGCTTGTGGGTGGCAGGGCTTGTGAAATTTTTAGTTCCCTAGCGTTTTCTTCTCTGCTGTTGCTTCCGTTGTCTCTACCTCATTTGAACCTCATTATGCCGCCCCATGCTGGCCCGTGCAAGCGCGCATGAGAGTGGGTGCAGGTGGCGAGCCTGGTGCTGCTGGGGTGGACGTACAGCAGCCTCAGCGGCGTGCCCGCCCTCAGTGTGCTCGCCCTGCTGCTCTTCGTCGGCTGCTACCAGGTCACGTCACCTCCCTCCTCTGCTAGCCATGTGACGTCACCTCCCTCCTCTGCTAGCCATGTGACGTCACCTCCCTCCTCTGCTAGCCATGTGACGTCACCTCCCTCCTCTGCTAGCCATGTGACGTCACCTCCCTCCTCTGCTAGCCATGTGACGTCACCACCCGTCTGCTGCCACCACACGACAATCTTCTTGCTACCTCCACCTCATCACCCCCCGCATGGGCTTGACTTCTGTGCCCACATGCTTCTGTGCCCACATGCTTCTGTGCCCACATGCTTCTGTGCCCACATGCTTCTGTGCCCACATGCTTCTGTGCCCACATGCTTCTGTGCCCACCTGCTTCTGTGCCCACATGCTTCTGTGCCCACATGCTTCTGTGCCCACCTGCTTCTGTGCCCACATGCTTCTGTGCCCACATGCTTCTGTGCCCACATGCTTCTGTGCCCACATGCTTCTGTGCCCACATGCTTCTGTGCCCACATGCTTCTGTGCCCACATGCTTCTGTGCCCACATGCTTCTGTGCCCACATGCTTCTGTGCCCACCTGCTTCTGTGCCCACATGCTTCTGTGCCCACATGCTTCTGTGCCCACATGCTTCTGTGCCCACATGCTTCTGTGCCCACATGCTTCTGTGCCCACATGCTTCTGTGCCCACATGCTTCTGTGCCCACATGCTTCTGTGCCCACATGCTTCTGTGCCCACATGCTTCTGTGCCCACATGCTTCTGTGCCCACATGCTTCTGTGCCCACATGCTTCTGTGCCCACCTGCTTCTGTGCCCACCTGCCTGTGTGCCCACATGCTTCTGTGCCCACATGCTTCTGGGCCCACCTGCCTGTGTGCCCACATGCTTCTGTGCCCACATGCTTCTGTGCCCACATGCTTCTGTGCCCACATGCTTCTGTGCCCACATGCTTCTGTGCCCACATGCTTCTGTGCCCACATGCTTCTGTGCCCACATGCTTCTGTGCCCACATGCTTCTGTGCCCACATGCTTCTGTGCCCACATGCTTCTGTGCCCACATGCTTCTGTGCCCACATGCTTCTGTGCCCACATGCTTCTGTGCCCACATGCTTCTGTGCCCACATGCTTCTGTGCCCACATGCTTCTGTGCCCACATGCTTCTGTGCCCACATGCTTCTGTGCCCACATGCTTCTGTGCCCACATGCTTCTGTGCCCACATGCTTCTGTGCCCACATGCTTCTGTGCCCACATGCTTCTGTGCCCACATGCTTCTGTGCCCACATGCTTCTGTGCCCACATGCTTCTGTGCCCACATGCTTCTGTGCCCACATGCTTCTGTGCCCACATGCTTCTGTGCCCACATGCTTCTGTGCCCACATGCTTCTGTGCCCACATGCTTCTGTGCCCACATGCTTCTGTGCCCACATGCTTCTGTGCCCACATGCTTCTGTGCCCACATGCTTCTGTGCCCACATGCTTCTGTGCCCACATGCTTCTGTGCCCACATGCTTCTGTGCCCACATGCTTCTGTGCCCACATGCTTCTGTGCCCACATGCTTCTGTGCCCACATGCTTCTGTGCCCACATGCTTCTGTGCCCACATGCTTCTGTGCCCACATGCTTCTGTGCCCACATGCTTCTGTGCCCACATGCTTCTGTGCCCACATGCTTCTGTGCCCACATGCTTCTGTGCCCACATGCTTCTGTGCCCACATGCTTCTGTGCCCACATGCTTCTGTGCCCACATGCTTCTGTGCCCACATGCTTCTGTGCCCACATGCTTCTGTGCCCACATGCTTCTGTGCCCACATGCTTCTGTGCCCACATGCTTCTGTGCCCACATGCTTCTGTGCCCACATGCTTCTGTGCCCACATGCTTCTGTGCCCACATGCTTCTGTGCCCACATGCTTCTGTGCCCACATGCTTCTGTGCCCACATGCTTCTGTGCCCACATGCTTCTGTGCCCACATGCTTCTGTGCCCACATGCTTCTGTGCCCACATGCTTCTGTGCCCACATGCTTCTGTGCCCACATGCTTCTGTGCCCACATGCTTCTGTGCCCACATGCTTCTGTGCCCACATGCTTCTGTGCCCACATGCTTCTGTGCCCACATGCTTCTGTGCCCACATGCTTCTGTGCCCACATGCTTCTGTGCCCACATGCTTCTGTGCCCACATGCTTCTGTGCCCACATGCTTCTGTGCCCACATGCTTCTGTGCCCACATGCTTCTGTGCCCACATGCTTCTGTGCCCACCTGCTTCTGTGCCCCACATGCTTCTGTGCCCACATGCTTCTGTGCCCACATGCTTCTGTGCCCACATGCTTCTGTGCCCACATGCTTCTGTGCCCACATGCTTCTGTGCCCACATGCTTCTGTGCCCACATGCTTCTGTGCCCACATGCTTCTGTGCCCACATGCTTCTGTGCCCACATGCTTCTGTGCCCACATGCTTCTGTGCCCACCTGCTTCTGTGCCCACATGCTTCTGTGCCCACATGCTTCTGTGCCCACATGCTTCTGTGCCCACATGCTTCTGTGCCCACATGCTTCTGTGCCCACATGCTTCTGTGCCCACATGCTTCTGTGCCCACATGCTTCTGTGCCCACATGCTTCTGTGCCCACATGCTTCTGTGCCCACATGCTTCTGTGCCCACATGCTTCTGTGCCCACATGCTTCTGTGCCCACATGCTTCTGTGCCCACATGCTTCTGTGCCCACATGCTTCTGTGCCCACATGCTTCTGTGCCCACATGCTTCTGTGCCCACATGCTTCTGTGCCACATGCTTCTGTGCCCACATGCTTCTGTGCCCACATGCTTCTGTGCCCACATGCTTCTGTGCCCACATGCTTCTGTGCCCACATGCTTCTGTGCCCACATGCTTCTGTGCCCACATGCTTCTGTGCCCACATGCTTCTGTGCCCACATGCTTCTGTGCCCACATGCTTCTGTGCCCACATGCTTCTGTGCCCACATGCTTCTGTGCCCACATGCTTCTGTGCCCACATGCTTCTGTGCCCACATGCTTCTGTGCCCACATGCTTCTGTGCCCACATGCTTCTGTGCCCACATGCTTCTGTGCCACATGCTTCTGTGCCCACATGCTTCTGTGCCCACATGCTTCTGTGCCCACATGCTTCTGTGCCCACATGCTTCTGTGCCCACATGCTTCTGTGCCCACATGCTTCTGTGCCCACATGCTTCTGTGCCCACATGCTTCTGTGCCCACATGCTTCTGTGCCCCCGTTGCCCACATGCTTCTGTGCCCACATGCTTCTGTGCCCACCTGCTTCTGTGCCCACATGCTTCTGTGCCCACATGCTTCTGTGCCCACATGCTTCTGTGCCCACATGCTTCTGTGCCCAACATGCTTCTGTGCCCACATGCTTCTGTGCCCACATGCTTCTGTGCCCACATGCTTCTGTGCCCACATGCTTCTGTGCCCACATGCTTCTGTGCCCACATGCTTCTGTGCCCACATGCTTCTGTGCCCACATGCTTCTGTGCCCACATGCTTCTGTGCCCACATGCTTCTGTGCCCACATGCTTCTGTGCCCACATGCTTCTGTGCCCACATGCTTCTGTGCCCACATGCTTCTGTGCCCACATGCTTCTGTGCCCACATGCTTCTGTGCCCACATGCTTCTGTGCCCACATGCTTCTGTGCCCACATGCTTCTGTGCCCACATGCTTCTGTGCCCACCTGCTTCTGTGCCCACATGCTTCTGTGCCCACATGCTTCTGTGCCCACATGCTTCTGTGCCCACATGCTTCTGTGCCCACATGCTTCTGTGCCCACATGCTTCTGTGCCCACATGCTTCTGTGCCCACATGCTTCTGTGCCCACATGCTTCTGTGCCCACATGCTTCTGTGCCCACATGCTTCTGTGCCCACATGCTTCTGTGCCCACATGCTTCTGTGCCCACATGCTTCTGTGCCCACATGCTTCTGTGCCCACATGCTTCTGTGCCCACATGCTTCTGTGCCCACATGCTTCTGTGCCCACATGCTTCTGTGCCCACATGCTTCTGTGCCCACATGCTTCTGTGCCCACATGCTTCTGTGCCCACATGCTTCTGTGCCCACATGCTTCTGTGCCCACATGCTTCTGTGCCCACATGCTTCTGTGCCCACATGCTTCTGTGCCCACATGCTTCTGTGCCCACATGCTTCTGTGCCCACATGCTTCTGTGCCCACATGCTTCTGTGCCCACATGCTTCTGTGCCCACATGCTTCTGTGCCCACATGCTTCTGTGCCCACATGCTTCTGTGCCCACATGCTTCTGTGCCCACATGCTTCTGTGCCCACATGCTTCTGTGCCCACATGCTTCTGTGCCCACATGCTTCTGTGCCCACATGCTTCTGTGCCACATGCTTCTGTGCCCACATGCTTCTGTGCCCACATGCTTCTGTGCCCACATGCTTCTGTGCCCACATGCTTCTGTGCCCACATGCTTCTGTGCCCACATGCTTCTGTGCCCACATGCTTCTGTGCCCACATGCTTCTGTGCCCACATGCTTCTGTGCCCACATGCTTCTGTGCCCACATGCTTCTGTGCCCACATGCTTCTGTGCCCACATGCTTCTGTGCCCACATGCTTCTGTGCCCACATGCTTCTGTGCCCACATGCTTCTGTGCCCACATGCTTCTGTGCCCACATGCTTCTGTGCCCACATGCTTCTGTGCCCACATGCTTCTGTGCCCACATGCTTCTGTGCCCACATGCTTCTGTGCCCACATGCTTCTGTGCCCACATGCTTCTGTGCCCACATGCTTCTGTGCCCACATGCTTCTGTGCCCACATGCTTCTGTGCCCACATGCTTCTGTGCCCACATGCTTCTGTGCCCACATGCTTCTGTGCCCACATGCTTCTGTGCCCACATGCTTCTGTGCCCACATGCTTCTGTGCCCACATGCTTCTGTGCCCACATGCTTCTGTGCCCACATGCTTCTGTGCCCACATGCTTCTGTGCCCACATGCTTCTGTGCCCACATGCTTCTGTGCCCACATGCTTCTGTGCC